TTGCGAGATTATCCAAATTGCAGGTTGTTGTTAGTTATTTTTGGGCAATTGGTTTTTTGTTTTTGTTATATGATTGTTTGCGAGATTATTCAAATTGCAGGTTGTTGTGGATTTTTGGGCAATTGCAGATTGTTGTTTTTGAGGGATTTTTGGGCAATTGCAGGTTGTTGTGAGGAATTCTTTGGCAATTGAGGGCAAACGGGCAATTGAGGGATTTTTGGGAATTTTTTGAGGAATTTGTTGTGAGGAAGTTTTTGGAAATTAGAATTTTTTGCCAGATCTGGGTTCTGTCGAACATGGAAGGAAGAAAAACAGTAACCGATGGGCAAAGATGGTGATGTGGGACCCATTTAGATGTATCTGGCACGATTTTGCCAGCTAGCATGCACATGTCATCACTTTTTTAAGTTTTGCTCTCCACGTCATAAAAAAAAATATATAAAAAATGCCACCTAAGCAGGGTTAACGGCTCAAATTAACAGAAGGACTAACGGAGTGTATTTTGTATAGTTGAGGGATCAAAAAAGTGCAAAAAATTGTTGAGGGATAAAAAATGTTCATTTCTTAAAGTTAAGGGACCAAATTAAGCATTTAACTTTTCCAGAAAAAAGGGGAGTGTAGGGACAGTTTGCTCCACATGATTCAGTCCAAAACATTTTTCTGGATTAAAAACAAGGTGGCTGGAAGTGTCTTCTCAATAGTTGATTGGAAACTTACTCCTTGGGAATGTGCTGCTGCCATGAGGAAGCATAGAAGCTTGCTGAGAAAATTTCATAAGAATAAAAACGGTAAGCAGGATGAGTAGTGAGACTGGAATGTGTGGGATTACATGTCTATTGGGATTACTTTGTTTTAGTTAGATTATTTTTAATTGTTTGTATTTGGGTTGGAGTACCCCTTGTACTCTATTTAATCGAATATCTTTTATTTGCTGATCAAAAAAAAAAAAAAAAACTTTAACTAACCCCTGATGCATAACCATTTTTTTTTGTTTTTTTGGTAAAACCCTGATGAATACGTGACTTCTTATACCTTCTTACCGTAAGTCACAATTACTACAAAATTATCTTCCACATGTCATCATCCCATTATTTTGGTAGGCCCCTAATCAGGCCCAAGCAACTAAATCTATCAACCTGACCCAAGACCAAAGCTCCAATACACGACTTGCCCGTTCCTCAGATGGGCTGAGGTGGCAACTAAACGCTGTAAATTGTCTCCTTCGCTTGAGAACAAAATTCTACCTTATGCAGCCGCAGCTTGTGTTTTTTCTCCATCCCTATTCATAATTATTTTGGGTTTTCAAATGAATTTAGAATCTGCAAACTTACTGCTTTAGTGTGGCCCATTATTAAGAGGGTCGGGTTTGGAGATGTTTGCGCTATTATACACTTAGGTATGTTTGGTTTACAAGAAATAGAGAGGGGGATGAGATAGATTTTTTAACCAATCAAATTGTAATAGTTAAAATTGATAAAATTGCTAGAAATTAAAGCATAAATCTAACATTCAGAATGGTATCAATTAAGTAGTTAATTAAATAACGAGTCTTGCTAGCTATTGCATCTTAAACAAAATGAAATTGACTTAAATACATAAGTTTATTCCCACATGAAATTGCAACTGAGAGCACATTGCATCTTTGACTAATGAAAACTATGTCTCCATATATGGTGCAAATTTAAAGGCGTATAATCTCCAGGCCAAAATTAAAAGAGAAAGGAAAAGAATAGTAAGGGCAGGAAGAACTGCAAAAGCAAAGCTACCAGTTGGAGATATGGCCGTCACACCGAGGGTATAGCAGAAAAAGAGTAATACAAGCGAAAAGTAGCTCAACATGCCATTTACGCTATCTTTTAGGACGGTGACTATTATCATTGCGAAAACAGTAGAACCAAAAGTGATAGTGTTGGCTGAATAGAAAAGATTAATACCACTTGGGCCCTCCCCAACAGGCCATTGTTGTTCTGTTAAAGAGTTGTTGTGGAAATTAGTAATGTTTCCCTGTGTAAAATTACCAGAAATATTTTCCTGTGTAAAACCTACCGGGAGGGTAAGGCAGGCTTGGTAGGTGGTTGTAAGGATCAGGGCATATACTACCAGCAAAGCATTGAGAAAATCATTTGAAAATTTGCTACGCTGACGTTTCATATCCCTTGAAAATACTTTCATGAATGACAACTTCGTAGATCTCAATGACTGGACTAAGGTTGGACATGGAGAAATTGCTGACGCATTCCGACATTTAGCCCGACGAAGAACATTCCCAATCTCTCCGCCGTTGTTTTGGCCTTCTGATATATCTAGAGCTGTCTGCCCTTTCAAATTTATCTTTTTCTTGGAGATATTGAATTTTAATAACAATCTCACCATCTATTATAAAGAGGAAAAAATATTGTTTAATTTAGAACTAATATTTATCTATACACTAAAAATTAAAAAGTTTGACTTGAGTGAATGCATGAGACGGTACCTCGGGATGATTATTTAATGCAGCTATATGCAGTACGGTATTTCCTTCATGGTCCGCCCCATTCAACACTACGCTTTCCCAAGTTGTGCTATCTTTGTGGATACTGCTGCAAATCCAAGAAGCCAAGAGTTTTGCAGCTTCATAGCGTCCGTTTTTTACAGCAACATGGAAAGCAGTCTGGCCATGTATGTTCACATCTGTGATGCATTCAGGGCATGACCCCAGAAACTCAACTAAAAGATCCAGTGCTTCATGGTCTGCTGCAAAATGCAAAGGGGTCTCACCACCCTTACCTTTGACACGAGCTAGATCTCTGTCGACTTTTAGGAGCTCCCGTACCACTAAAGTTTGATCATTTTGCACAGCAAGATGCATAGGGCTTAACCCAGATG